GTATTAAAGGACTGGGTGCCTACACAGCACCTTATTGGTCCAAGGGAAAGGGCAATGACAACTGTGAGAGCAAAGCAAAGGCAAAAACTGAGAGTCAATGCTACCAGAGACCTGTTGTCATGGTGAGAAGCAGCATGCTAGAGATGTCTTTTGAGTAAAATGGACAAGAGCCATATATGCAAATGTACATGAGGGAAGTTGAGATCCAGATCTGAAATGGTCTATTGGCTCTTAAAGTGGTCTGCATCCAAACCCAGCAAGCCAGCAATACCCTGAGACCAGAAATTTGAAATACAGGCCAGAATCTTTTAATATTATTTCATATTTCAGTTCCTGTTATAGTAAGTATTGGCAGAATTAAAGCAGCAAGTCATTTTTTAGCTGCTTATAGAGGATCAGCTCCTGGTTAAATAGTGAGTGCCAAGCTGAGGCTGAAACTGAAAGGGATAGCCTTAAAATAGGAATGACAACTTTAAAGGGACCCTTCTGTACATAAAAGTGAAGAAAGTGCAGAGGGTGTGCTAGAATAAGTCTGACCTTGTGGAGTGTTCGAGTTCTGTAAGGAGTCTTCAACACTTGAGCTAATGTGAGTAAGTGCTGTAACCAAAAGCACTTCGTGGGATTTTGTGTCCTTCCTCTGGCTGCACGTGACTTTACTGCACTGTTTTGCTCCGTATAGTTGATGGTGGCTTGGCTCCCAGGAGGATGGGCTGATGATTCTAGTCCTATGTAGTTATCATTTTATCAGTGAACACAGCTGCTCTGAATTTTAATAGGTAGGTCTTCTGCATCTGCAAGTAACATATGGCTAGCACAGAGCTGCTGCTTCAAGAATCTCTTCCTGCTCACATCTCTATCAGGCAGCAGTGGAATGGAAACCTGCCACTTCAGCAAAGGCATTTACAGCAAAGAAGGTTCTGTGTAAACATGCTGTAGTTAATGTCAGGTCTACTAATGTGTGCTAAGCATAATCTTCCTGACTTTGAATTTGTGTACAGTAATAACCTCTAGTGCTCTGTAGTAGATGAAGTGCTTTGAAGCTGGTGTAGTTGCTAATACATACATTGATCTCTAGTTAGTAGTAAAGGTCTTCAGTAAAGCAGGGAAGCTCATCTAAGCCCACAGCTTCCCCAGAATGGAGGCATCATAACTACAGGATGTGGTTTAGCTGCAGCAACTTTAAAATCCTTAAGGCAGCAGTAAACAATACACCAAAAAAAGTTGATCTCACTGCTCCAACCCCTGCTCCTAGGATGGCTGCCCCTATGCATGTACATCCTACCCTCCTTAGGGCCTTTTTAGTGTATTTACCTTTGCAGTTACATCTTTCTTCTATTGCATAATTAACAGTGGTGTTTTGTTGAGGTTGGTTTTGTTTTGTTGTTGTTGTTTTCTCTAAAGAAGAGATCACAAAGTCCTATGTGGCTGAAAACAGAACCTCAGATATTTGAAAGCATCTACTCACTGCCTTGAAAGACTATGGCTCCAAGGATTGCTCATGTGAGGCGGAAAGATGATGATTGCTGTTTGGGGGAAGGACTGGGGATTATTTCTCTAAACTTCAACCAGTTCCAGTAAATTTTCCTTACACCATTTATTACAAATTGCAAATGGGAGACTTGTTTAGGTAAGCAAAATCGGCATGGATGTACTCAGTGTAGGTAGAATAAGATAACACTCAGTTGACACACTGTGTTACGCTGGCATAATGACATATGGTTATAGCTTGTGTATATCTCTCTCAGCTGTATGTGCTCTGAGGCATAAAGAGGATAAGTGACTTGTACAAGGCCATTCAGCAGATCAGTCGTGGAGCAAAAATGCAGAAGCCCTAAAAGCTAATAATCAGTAAGGAAGCAATCATTACACTGGGAATGCTCTATTTTCTGTTTTTGTTCTAATTTAGAATGAGAAGCCATGTCTTTCAAAGACATGGTAGTGTCTTCTTTTTCCACTTCCCCTCACAGATTAGTTTAGACTGTGGAATAACTCTCTTTTATAATGTCAAACTTACTTTATTTGATAGTTATGTTTGAATTACATGAATAGAGACAAAACATGTCTAGATTGTTGGAAAAATGAGTTGTTGTTTTTTAATTACCACCCATCCAACCTTGACTAAAAGCTTACTATCCATGGGGGGGAAAAGGTTTCCATTTTACTTAAAGGACAGTTCCACTTAGTCGCTCAAAACGCATTTTTGAAATCCAATTAAATAGGATGGTACTTGATGACAAGCTTTATGTTGGAAACTAACTTTCCTCAAAATGCTTGTCAGTGTGCTGCTGCACTTCCCTGCAGTATGGTGACAGGGTATGATGCAAGGTGGGGTAGATGCAAAAAGTCTTTTCATAATGTAGCGATATTAAACACGTTATTACCCAGGTATTAATATGTACTGTTTTGAATGAGATGTAAATAATGTAGGTTTTTTATTGACGTTCTTCAGATATGTATATATTACTAACCTGGATTATTTGATTGTGTCTATTTCTGCATACTTCATGTTTTTGATGAATAATAACTGAGCAGAAGTGAGAAGTAGGATTTTCATGTAGTAGGAATTCTGAAAGGCAAATAAATTTCTAGAACACTGGAAAAGAAATCCATGCTGCTGTCAACTGCTGAACCAGTACCGCATCTATAAGAGAGGAGAAAGAAAACGTAAACAAAAAATTGTTGCTATTCCAGAAATGTTAGAAATGAGAATATAACTGTATTGAGCAAAACAATGAAAAGTAACTGTGGCCTTCTGGACTTGTGCAGAAACTGTAACAGCCATAATGAGTACAAAATGAAATTTGAAGACAGGAAAGAATGATAAAATACATTGCAGTTACAGTTACTACTGACATCTGCAATAATGGGAGAGTTGATCACAGAAAGGGTTCTTTAGAGAGCAGCGGTTGCACACAGCTGATATCTGTTGAACAATAGAAAGGAGTATTTTTTTTTCCCCGAGATGTTATATCATGTGCCACGTGGCATCTGTAGAGACTGCAGCATGTGCATTTTCTGAAGGGGGAACTGAGCTGGTAATGAGGAGTGCCTTCCAAAGGGAAGGGGAAGCAGACAGCTGATGGGAGGAGGGTCAACTTCCATGTATTCCTTTCCTCCCATAGGAAAATATGTACTGCACCTCTTCAGTAGATGTAGAAATCTGCAGTCATTCCACCCTGTACTGCTTACTCTACCAGTACTAATGAGTTCCAGAAGGCATTTTGCTGTCTGAGGAGATATGCCTTTACTGCTGTTCCTGGGCGTGCATTTTTATACTCCCTTCATGAAACAATCAAATGCTTTTCTGGCCTGTATGTCTTCTCTTAAAAAATGTCCAGGACCAGCGAATTCACGTAAACAGTGATTTATTTACTACAAATCCGTCTAGTCTTAGTTTTTTTCCTCTGTGCATTTAGAAATGTCTGTTTTTTGTGTTTCTCCCCACCAGTTAAATGGTGCTTCATCTCCTGCTTGTAAGCTGAGTGAGATTCTTTACCGGAATAAGCCACATCCTTAAACAGGATGAAACTAGATTCATAGCTGGCATAAATCAGCATTGTGCTCGCTGCTTCGGTGCAGCTACACTGATTTGCTGTTGCTGAGTTTCTGCCCTAATGTCTCTTCAGGACACAAACAGCACTGAGCACATCAGTTAGGCGTGGCCAGTTTTCACAAATACAAAAAGCTACTGTAGTTTATACACAAAATTGTCAGCATGGAAAAGAGAGATCTTACAATCACTTACTCTCTCCTGCCTCCTTATTTCTTCCCTCTTTTCTTTCATGGAGAGACAAAAATGCTCTGTTTTAGTACTTAGAATTCAGGTTAATACAATACTTTGCCAAAAGCCATATTTATGTCCATGTTATTTGCAGGCGCTATTGCTAGATAGTGTGATAACAGAGGACAACAGCAGTAACCAGTCCTGACGATCACTCTTTCCATTTGAAATAATGACATCTGGTTAGAATGAGCTGCCTGCAACCAGAAAAGGGTGGAGAGCCTCAGCTTTCCTTGGATGGCAAGTGGAGGAAGCAGAGCTTCATTTACCCTCTGCTACGTTCTTGAAATATCAGATTCTGCCTATGGAGTCTGTACTGTTTACAACTTGTGGAACATATAGGGTAATAAGACATGGGAAAAATCTCCCTGATACCTACATTGACGTTTTAGACTCAAGCAATGAGCCCAGACAGAGCTGACCTTCAAATGGAGAGAGGAGGTCTCCCTACACACAGTGGCTATATTTCCAGCATGGTTCTGTTTGTTTTCTACTACAGAGTCCAGGTTCCCAAAATAATCCTGTGCTCTTCAGTCCATGCTTTCCTTCTCAGCCAGCCTCGTGCTACAGAACTCCTCTTCACTGCCCTCTCTGGGGTCATGCTCATGCTGATGCTCTCTCCCCATTCTTGCTGTCTTGTCTCCCTCAAACATTCATATGGATACCAGAAGGACAGTAAGAATGCCTTGTCTGAAGATAGTGTCTTACCCAAACCTTTCAAACAGGCATTGATATAGCATCTACTGTCTTGCATGAGGCTCTTCTCTATTTCTAACTCTTTCTGGTTTACTCTTTTTTTTTTTTTCTTTTTTTCTTTTTCTTTTTTTTCTCTACCGTCTTTCTTAGAAAGCGAGAGCGCCAAGTTCACTTGCTGGCTTCAACCAGCTTTGCAGGTGAAAGTCTTGTGAGATCAGTTGTCTCTGTTGGAAGCCTTGCTATAGAACACCACTCCATGTTGGTCAAGGCCATCTCTGGCCATACCCCCACTAGGACGGTGGCATACTGTCAAGGATATTGGACTCTCATTAGGATGTGATGTGGCATTTTAACCATCCTGATTTCACTAATGAGCGCTTAACAAAGTGTGGCTGGCCTAATGATGACTGCCTTGCTCTGCTTGCCCCTGGGCTGACAACCACAGAAGCAACACTCAACTTAAATGGTGGTGAGAGGAAATCTGGCCAAAAGCTGACCAAGCCTTTGTTTATTCATTTGGCAGCTCAAGTCTTCTGCTCGTTCCGTGCTCTGAGCAGCTTTATCGTGCGGTTAGAGAAATGCAAGACCTGGCAGTGTCAGGATTACATGCCAAAGGAAGGGAGCAGAGTGTGAGGTACATAATTAGCCTGGTTTAATTGCATGCTGGCACCCTGCACTCCAGGCTGTGGCAGTGGTTGTGATGGCCCTGCAGACCCAGACCAGACCTGTGGGAGCACCACAGGCCTGGTGTCTGAGGGCACTCAACCAGCTCTCCTGTCAGGCTCCAGATCTCATGGCTGCATTTTAATAATACTTAGTACTAATGAGGAATCTTTTATATCAATAGGAAAGTGTTTTTCTGTAACGTGGGGTTTTATGGAGCACCACCCAGCAGGGAATTCCTGTTTCCTCAGGTGTGGGAAGGCTGCAAGCTGGCCAGTCCCAGTGCATCACAGCACCCGTCGCAGCCTATGTGCTCAGCGCTCAGAGATGCTGGCCTCTGACACACCACGTGTGGTGCCTTTGAAGTCCATTGCTTTGTAATTTCTGGCAAATAGAGGAAAGATGACTGTACAAAGCAAGTTGAGGAAGGAATAGATCTTTGCTTTCCACTAAGCTGTTTCTCCCTCATCATCTGCCAAGAGCAAACTTTAATTTATAATAGAAAAATAAATCTAGCTAGAGTTTACATACAGAGAATTGCTTTTAAAATGAATTTTGGCTGAAGGAAAAACACTGCCTTGTTGTAGTCCCATTTTTCAAGCAAGAGAGATTAGAGTCTTAGAAGTAAAAGACAAAAGACAGGCCAACTGTAGAAAGAGCTTCTTTCACTTCTGAAGGCCCCAGGTCCCCTCTCCCAGTAATAAGGATGAATACATAGCTAACCATAGCAGACTGTTTTACTAATGCTCTCAGTATGGATTTGCAATGCAAGTGTTTGAATTAAGCACCCCCATTTCTTCTGTTCACTTTCTGCCAGATTGCACTGTAAAGTAAACTAAGAAAATCAGCTGCACACTTGTGCTAGTGTGAGGGAGAGAGCGCACACAGGAAGGAATGGACATCTAGGGGCAGCAAACATACACACTAGCCAACTATCAGAACACTACTGATTGAATAAAGCTTCATGTGAAAATGTAGCAAGGTGGAAAGTCTATATTGTATCTTTGTCAGTTCATCTTTAGGCTGTTGGCATGGCTAATGTGGTGTTTAGAAAATGATCTATCATCTTCTCTCATGATTACAGCATCAAGCCTCCAGCTCTCCTGGTGCCCTGAGAAGAAAAGGTGCTCAGTTTGCCGACTGGTAATCACCAAGTTGGCATGACTGCCCCAAAAGGGGAACTTGCTGATGGAAGTTGCTTGCTGCTACTTGCTTAGCAGGTTCCAGCAAAGCAACTGTCCTTATTGGACCATGAGATGTGACTTGGTCTCCCGTGAACAGATGTGTTCCTCTGGAAATCATCTCGAATTTTGGCTAACAGGGAGGATGATCAAAATAACATGGGGTTATAATTCCATCTGTGGTATAGTTATAGAATAAATTTTCAGTCTGTAAAGGGAAGGGTCTATGCTGAGGGCTATCTAGTAAGCAGTATGAAGCTAAAGATAATAAACCATTTTTAAAACATTTTTGGTCTTGTAGATAATGTGTTATTTATTGGTTTATTGTTCTGTTTAAGATTTAACTGTATATTGTGATTATATGTTTCTCTTGCAAAGTTTTTTTTAAAGCTGACTTTCTTGGCTTGTGTTTTTTATTGATATTAAAGAAGCTAATCATCCCTTACTGTTCAGTATAATATTTTCCTTACTTCAGCCAGATGAGCAGCCTTTATTGTTTTACATCTAATTACCTGCTAAGGAGCTGCATAGCTCTGAATAAAATGCTGAAGTGAATAATGGGCAGATATTTTTTTCCATAAGGCAGAAGATGTAGAGAAAACAAATATAGTCATTCAAGTCTCTTAATCAGCAGGAATTTCAGAGTGAAAACAAAACTAGGGATCATGATTATATCAATTTCACTGTGATAGTTAAAATAAATATATGCACCAAAATTAGACCCCAAATTGATTGAAGACAATGACTGTGCTGCTTTCAAAGTAGAACGTCTAATCTTTTCTGCCTACGTTATGGGAGATTATTTTACACTGACAGTTAATATGACTAACTCTTGCAGACAGGGATGTATCTGTTTTCTGTGGAAGGCTCTGCTCGTATTTTCGTTGCTGCACTGATGAATCACAGAATTACAGATTTGTAGGGGTTGGAAGCGACCTCTAGAGATCATCTAGTCCAATCCCCCTGCAAAGCAGGCCCCCTACAGCAGGCTGCACAGATATGCATCCAGACAGGCTTTGGATATCTCTAGAGGAGAATCCACAACCCCCCTCGGCAGCCTGTTCCACTGCTCCATCACCCTCACTGTGAAGAAGTTCCTTCACATATTGGTGCAGAACTTCCTGTGCTCCAGTTTATGACTGTTTCCCCTTGTCCTGTCCTCACAGACAGCTGAAAAGAGGTTGGACATGTCTCCTTGACTCTCACACTTAAGATATTTGTAAACATTAATCAGATCCCCTCTGAGTCTTCTTGAGAAAAGTCTGAACAGACCCAGGTCACTCAGTCTTTCCTCATAGAGAAGATGCTCCAGGTCCTTTACCATTTTTATGGCCCTCCACTGGACAGTCTCTGGGAGATCCCTGTTGTGAGGAGGATCGGGGGAACTACTTGTCAGCTTGACCTCAGTGCCAGGGAAGACTATGATGCAGATCATCTTGAGTGAGATCACCTAACATGTGAGGGACAACCAGGCGATCAGGCCCAATCAGCATGGGTTCATGAAAGGCAGGTCCTGCTTGACTAGCTTCATCTCCTTCTGTGTTTGGTTGACCAGCCTGGTGGATGAGGAAGAGGCTGTAGATGTAGTCTATCTAGACGTCAGCAAGAGTGATCAGACACTGGAACAGGCTCGCTAGGGACACGGACCTCCTGTCCCTAGAGGTGTTCAAGAAACATGTAATGATATTAAGGAACAAGGTTTAGTGGGCAACATTGGTGGTAGGTGTAAGGATAAATTAGATGATGGAAGTCTTTTCCAACCTTAATGATTCTATGATTCTGTAACTACTAGATTCTACAGTTGCCTAGAACATACATCTAAATTTGGATAAAAGTACTTTAGCTACAACATTCCCAAATGAGAAAATGATATATTGGATCATCTGATGTAAGCAACCAAGCAAAATAACTCATTAATGGCTCATTTTCTATTTAGAACTTCCTCTTCTGTCACATACCTTTCAGAGGAGCTCTCTCCAACAAATTGTTCCTCAACCATTCAAGTGAGAGAAAACAGATCAAAGAACTAAGACATTTTTGGCAGACTGGATAGAAGTTGCAAACTGAAGGGTTTTAGTGGCATAAAGGAAATATTTTTTTCTTTAACAAATCTTTTTTGTGGATAAGAAAAACTTTGGTCCTTTCTCAATGTATTTCTTTCAGATCTTAGCATTCGTGAATCCAGTGTACTAGATCTAGATAACTTGGTGCTTTCATTAGGCACTACTGATTCTAGCAAAGGCAAATTATCCCTACACCTGATCTGTACACCTGACACTGTCTGTTAATAGTGCTTTGCCTCTGCTATGCAAAGAATTTGTTAACTGAATTAAAGCATGTCATACTTACGTAGTTTTAGTATGCTCTCCAAGCAGTGTACTGATTTTAAGACTGCTAAACCCATTTCAGAACTCTTCTTGCTTAGGAAGTGTTAGCTGATAATTTTTAATTTTATGTAATGAAATGAAAGTATCTACTAGGGCAGTGTTAATTGAACAGCTTGACTTGGCTATGAAGAGAAAAGTTAAGCAGTTTGATTTCTAGCATTGATAAACAAGTACAGCAGTGTGTCTAGGATACTGAGAAACAAGTAACTTGAAACCAAGACTAACCCAGCTCATGATAATAGTTCTTCCCGAAACCTATGAATGCCTAGAAGAGGTCCTCTTAGAGATCTTTAGCTCTGTTTAGTTAAATAGTAGAAGGCCAGCAATAATGGGTTAAAAGTGGTTGGTATCTTAGCAAAACTAGATTTAATTATTTGACCTTATTTTAAACTTATTTGTGCTTTAGTATGTCCGCTTTCCTACCTGTAGTATGAAGAAATTATTTCCTTTTCCCTTCGTTTTGCCCAAATGCCCTACTTAGACTAGAAAGTCTTTGGAACAACTGCTGTCTGGTCTAATGTGCATGTACAGAGCTGAACACAATGAAGTCCTGATCTCAGCAGGAGCCCCATCTGCTACTGCTGAGATAAATGATCTTTTCAGTACTGGTTGTTTTTTAATCTCTTTAAATTACCATAAATACATTTTTAAAGCCATATGCTTTCATTCTATATTCCACACCACTGAAGAAATCTGGGATTCTGTGGAAATATAATTATGTAACCATATAATTAAAGACTGCCTTATATCTTCTACATGCAAGGGGGCTGAGCTGAGGTCAAGAGCCAGATTCATCTGCCACTTTATAGGTTTCAAGTATGTAAACTTAGTTTAGAAGTGTTATTTTAAACATGGCTCTATATACTCATATACTCATATACTCATTCAATGGAAGAATATTGTCTCCAACTAAATTCTGTTCAATTAAACAGAAGTGAATTTGCAGTAGAAGAAATTGGTTCCAAACTGACTTGTTAAATTATAGGACTGGATGTCTAGCACTGGATGCCAATCAAGGAAATTCAAAGGAAGCTTTTTATTTACGGAAGAGACAGATAATTTATCCCACAGTGAGATATGACAAGGGGAACACTTCCTGCCCCTCCTTGGACCACCACTACTTTTCTCACTGTGTCTGTCTCTCTTGCATCAGTGTTCAAGTGTTCCCAGCATAGTATGTGGCACTGCTGGTATTTTGGCAATGGCGTAAGCCTGACATTATGATGTTAGTGTTTTGTCTGAATATTTGAGATTACTGGAGTATTGCAAATACGAAAAACCAAGTGGCACATTTCTAAACACATTAACTGATCTAAATGGAAAGAGAATTATATAGGCTGAACAAAGAGCATGTCTCTAATCAGAGGCGTTTTGTCACTGTCAACATTGAGCACTTTGCCTTAAGCAACTGAAGTGTTGCAGACTTTCAGAGAAGACTAAGTTTCTTTAACAAGAGAAATTATTATTCAACCTGGATGTCAGAATTACCGGCATTTCCCAGGTCACAGCAGCTTGGCATAAGGGTCATTGTCTCTGGACAGGCCTTTTTCTTTCATGCTTTGAAGTGCAGGTGTAGTTCTTACCTGAGCATTTAAATTCAACATGAAACCCCCATATGGGGCTTTAGTGCCCAAGGGTGGATGCAGAAAGATTGCATGAACTACTTCCCTGCTGCTTGTAAAAACAAGAGACTCAGAGTATTTAAGGTTGTTTTTTTTTTTCCTTTTCCTGAACAGACAAACTCTCTTCACCTAGAGCTCCTCTACTTTCATGTGAATAAAGTCAGCTAAGAATTTGTTCCATCATGGTTGTGTTTCAGGAATTGTTTACCACTTGTAGTTCTTCTATTATTTAGAGTTGTTTTGTTTTTTGCTTTTTTTTTTTTTTTGGTCAGTATTTTTAACTTCAGGAGAAATTAGAGTTTTACGTACAGAAAATCTTTCCTCCCTCAAGAAGTACAACAAAGAATCCTTGTAAGCACCAGGTGCAAGAAAAGCAAAGTAATTGTCTGTGATTGTGAGATTCTTGCTAGCACAATACTTTGCTCAGCCAGATATGTACACAGCATCCATTTCTGCCAATGGAAGTTACAGATACAAATTAAGGGGACAATAGGGCCATTCATGTTTAGCTTCCTTCACATGAAATCTAGTGAGCTTCTTCCTTGGTGGGGAACTGTTTTTTAAACAACATCAAACATTTTGTATAAGATGTGACATCCAGAAATTTCACAAGTTGTTAAAGTCCAATTAGGTTCTTGCAATTTGTTCTTTCTCGGTAGTGAGATAATTTGCTGTTATCAAAGGAAAATACAGTTTATGTATTTCATATGTAAATTAATTTACTTTGAAGGGAAGGGGAAAAAAAAAGATTTGGAAGCTGATTTTTCTGCTAACATCAATGTTTGCTTATGTTTTCATATTTCTTCATAGTAGCAGAGTCTTTGGCACTCCATTTTGGCCTTCTATTCAGTCTGATAATACCTCACAGCTTGCACTTTTAAATACCATTCCCATTTTACAGACAAAACACAGATAAATCTCTGCCTGTAATCTAATCTGAAGTGCACATTTGACTTCAAATTCCAGTAATGATGGCAAACCACCTTAAGACATCCAGTGTAAATTTTGCAAGATGCTTTGCTTTGTACTTGCAAAGGTGCTCCTGCTTTCCAGCATAGAGCAAGTTCTGCTGGCACATGCGAAGTGCTCCCTATGATCCCACTGAGGCTTTACACAAAGTCACTGCCTCGGTTGGTGGCTGTTCAACCGTTGTCTGACAGATAATCACCTACACAACCAAGCTGCCTGGTGCTGTGAAAAGTGGAGACTGAAGTATCCTTTAGCTCAGCAGGATGTCCTATGCTTTCAGCAATCAGATGGGCCAATCTCCTCTATGGAAACTGGCTATTCTTTCAGGCTCACTGCTTCTCTTTGGAGTACAGAAATCCATGTTACTATATATAATATATATAAAATTATGCTCCAATTAAGAATAGATTTAAAGGGTTCATCACCCATCATGAAAATCTCATTTTTTTTCC